CACGTGGCTCTGGCATTCGTTAAAAAGATTACCAGACACACAAACGAGCAAGTGAAAACAACCCATTGCCAAGAGACAAATCACTCCACAGAGCCAGAGTCAGAGGTGATCTGGGTGTTGAAACTATTAGGCAGGAATTTTTAAATAATTAAGATTCAGATGTTGAATTCTCTCATGGAAACTGTGGGATACATGCCTGAATAGAAGGCGGGGGGTCCTCAGCAGAGAGTTGGAAACTATGAGAGTCAAATGGAAACTCTGGAAGAAAAACCCATGTAATTGAGATGAAGGCCCATCAGTAAGCTCAGCACAGCTGAGGAATGAAGCAGTGAACTTGAAGTTCAATAGAAATTACCCAGACTGAACCACAAAGAGAAAAAAAGGATGGGGGGAAAAAACCCCAACAAAATAATAGGGCATCTGAGCCGTGGGATCATAGCAAACAGTTGGAAGAGATAATGAATGGCATGTATATATGCCATATATATATATATATATATATATATATATTTAATAATGAAAGACACCAAGCTACAGATCAAAAAAATCTCGGAGAACCCCAAGCAGGCTAAGTAAAAAACAAACCTAACCCAGGGCACCTGGTGGCTCAGTTGGTTAAATGTCCAGCTCTTGTTTTTGGCTCATGTCATGATCTCAGGGTCGTGACATTGAGCCCCGTGACAGGCTCCATGCTGGGCGTGGAGCCTGCTTAGGGTGCTCTCTCTTCCTTTCCCTCTGCCCCTCCTCCCCTGCTCATGTGTGCCCTCTGTCTCGCTCTCTCAAAAAAACAAACAAAAAAACCCTAACCCAAACAAAAACTCCTAGATAGAACGTATTCTAACTGCTAAAACGATAAGAAGGGCACCTGGGTGGCTCAGTTGGTTAAGCGACTGCCTTTGGCTCAGGTCATGATCCCGGGGTCCTGGGATCAAGTCCCACATTGGGCTCCCCCTGCTTGGGCTCTCTCTCTGTCAAATAAATAAATAAAATCTTTAGAATAAATAAAAAGGTAAGAGAAGGAGAAGGAAATGAGGGCACAGATTATAAAGGAACAAAGAGAGGAATCAGAGCAGATGTCTTGTCAGAAACTATGCAAATAGTTAACAGAATAATGTCTTTGCTGAAAGAGGGCGCCTGAGTGGCTCAGTTGGTTAAGCGACTGCCTTCGGCTCAGGTCATGATCCTGGAGTCCCGGAATCGAGTCCCACATCGGGCTCCCTGCTCAGCGGGGAGTCTGCTTCTCCCTCTGACCCTCTTCCCTCTCGTTCTATCTCTCATTCTCTCTCTCTCAAATAAATAAATAAAATCTTTAAAAATAAATAAATAAATAAAATGCTGAAAGAAAAGACCTGGCAACCCCAGTCTCTACCCAGGAACAAGAACATCTTTCAAAAACGCAAGAGAAATAAAGACATTTCCAAACAAATAAAAATGGAGAGGATTTATGTCCTGCAAGGACAAGGAATAATGGAAGTTGTTCAGACAGAAGGAACATGTTCCCAGACACTTGGCTCTACACCAGACAGTGAGGATTTCCAGAAATTAAGGTAAATATAAAAGGCATTGTTTTTCTTATTTTTAATTGCTCTGAAAGGTACTTAACTTCTAAAGCAAAAATAGTAGTGATGTATAAAGAGTTGATAGAACATGTAAGGAAAATGCGTGAGAACGGCAGCACAGAAGCTGGGGGGCATTGAGACTATACTGTTGTAAGAGTCTTATGCTCTGTGCAAAGTGGTATATTATTATTGGAGGGTTGACTGTGATGAACTAAAGACATACCATTAAAAAGATCTTAAGAGGCATAGGGCTCCTGGGTGGCTCAGTCGGTTGAGCGTCTGCCTTCGGCTCAGGTCTTGATCCCGGGGTCCTGGGATCGAGCCCCACATCGGGCTCCCTGCTCTGCAGGGAGTCTGTTTCTCCCTCTGCCTCTGACCACTCGTTCTCTCAGTCTCTCTCAAATAAATAAATACAATCTTTAAAAAAATTTAAGAGGCATAAATGAAAAGATCAGGGTTCAGAGAAACAAAGAGTAGAATGGTGGTTAGCGGGGGGTAGGGGAGAGATGCTGGTCAAAGGGCACAAACTTCCTGTTGTAAGATAAACAAGTTCCGAGGATCTAATGTACCACACGGCGAACAGGGCAATAATAGTGTATTCTCTACTTGAAAGTTGCTAAGAGAGTAGATCTTAGATGTTCTCACCACCAAAAAGGCACGGTAATTCTGTGATGGGATGGAAGGCTTCACTAATGCTATGAGGTCATTGTTTTGCAATATGTAAATATATCAAATCATCACATTTTACATCGTACACTCACACAGTGTTATATGTCAACTATATCTCAATAGAGCTGAAAAGAAAAAAAAGATCAGTGTGGCCATGAATAGGGAAAGGGCTGGGTTGGCAAGGTACGGCCCGCGGTTCAAATCTGGCCCGCAACCTGTTTCTGGAAGTCGTTTTATGGAGCACAGCCTTCCCTGCTTGCTACTGTGGTGGGGGCCGGGTAACTGCCCTGCCAAAATGGTCCACAAAGCCCAAGATACTGACTCTCTGATCCTCTCCAGCAGAGCTGGCTGAGCCCTGGGCTAGGGGACAGGGTGGCAACAGGTCGGCCAGGGGCGCTGGTGCACTCACCCGCGGGAGCCCTGGCAGGAGCCTGGCTCCGAGGCTGTGACAAATGACAGGAATCAGAATATATGTTGGAGATATAACCAACAGAATTTTATCCAGAGCACGGATAAAATGGACAGTATTTAGAGTTTCTGATTTACGATCTACCAAAGGGATCCGTGTCTTAAAACACACACACATAACAAAGAACAATTGAAAACCTGACAAAAACCAAGATTATTTTTGTCTGATGGCTGCCAGGGTCGGGCGCTCAGCACCCTGCATTTTCCGCAGACCTGACTCCCCTAGCACTACCAGAAACTTCCCCCAGAGTTCCCTGGGTTCGGACGGGCAGAGCTGGAACACTGCAGAAGAAATAGAAACCCGCACACCTTCCAGGCGCGCCTTCCCGTCTAAGCGGCACCCGGGCGGCTCCCAAATGTGCCATTACCTTGTCAGCGTGCGGGACATCTACCCCAGTTACAGGCCTTTAGTGTCAATCCTGTCATCGGATAAGCTACTCGCGTGGGCTTGGTGGCAGGGAACACTGCTGCCAGGGTGTTGCCATTTGCCATGTGGGGCTGACTGAGCGACAGATCGGATATGAGTCTTCGGCAGACACACTTTAGAAGCCCCAAATTCCCGTGTTAAACCCTAAGCCTCAGCTCCCCGGAATGTGACCTTATTTGGACACCGAGTCTTTACAGAGGTGATTTGAGTTAAATGAGGCACGGGGGGGGGGGGGCCTGATCCAATAGGACTGGTGTCCTTATCTAAAGGACATAATTAGGCCCCAGACTCAGAGGGAGAGAAGACGCAGGCTGAGCAGAGCGGCCTGGAGCAGATGGTTCCTCACGGCCCTCAGGAGGAGGCAGCTGCTCGCACCTTGACTTCAGATGGCACACCTTGAGAAGCAGGGGACAGTGACTTTCTGTCCTTTAAACCACCCTTTGTTACAGCAACCCCAGGAAACCGAGACAGCCTGTTAGCCGGCTGAGGGTGGACAGATGACGCATCAGGCATCCGGTCTACACCTCCCAAAGTGTGTTACGTGAACCTCTGCAATGTGTAGCTGTGCAAGGTAATCTTGAGTGGCATAGGATGAAATCATTTTATTTCCCTTACTCATGGATTTATCCTACTGTGTAAATTCTTCTAAGAATCATCATGCATTTTAAGTGTGACTAAAATATGGATTTCGGGTGCCTGGGTGGCTCAGTTGGTTGGGCGACTGCCTTCGGCTCGGGTCATGGTCCTGGAGTCCCGGGATCGAGTCCCGCATCGGGCTCCCTGCTCAAGTGGGGGGGGTCTGCTTCTCCCTCTGACCCTGTTCCCTCTCGTGCTCTCTCTCTCTCTCCAATAAACAAATAAAATCTTTAAAATAAATAAATAAATAAAATAAAATATGGATTTTGATGCCACTAAAAATAGAAATATCAAATAAAATGTGTGGATGCTCAGATATTACTGCTTAGTGTTATCACTCATAAAATTTAGCATGTGGTTAGAGTAGGGCTTAGAAGAAAAGGGGGCTTAATAGAAGAATCTTAAGCCACTAACAGTGCAGGTTGGTGGCTAGACAGGGCCAAAGGTGTGTGCAGAGAAGACCACTCCTGCTGGGGGCCAGGCAAAGAGCCTCGGGCTTTCAGAACGGCTGGGTGCCCTGGGCTCAGCCTGCCCCTTCCTGTGCACCCCATGCCCCCCCCACACATGTGCACACACATGCATACACGCAGTTGCACTGTGCTTCCCCGTGCTGCACCATGCCTCAGGAGGCTCGGTGGAGAAACTGTTTTGTAAAAGAAATGCAGGTGAGCCCAGCCCTCCTCCTGTAGGACCCCCACCGGCGTCCCCCAACTCTGGCTTTCCGTCTTAAATGAAAGCGGGCTCCAGGGCTCCACTGTGTACCGCTGCTTCCCACCCCGCACAGGTCAACAAGCTCCGTGGGTCCAGAGCCTGGTGGGGCGGTCAACTTGCAGGTCCTCAGAAACCAGGCGGCTGCCTCCTGGTGGAGCCTTGAGCCCAGGGAGGCAGCGGGAGAGGTGGGACGTCCAGAGGCATCACAGGGGAGACGCGACCAAAACCAGGGATAGGGAGGAGTGGGCAGCCGGGGAAGGTTTTATTTCTAAAGAAGGGCTCTTGGGGGCTGTGTCCAGCAGGCGTGATGACTTCACTGCAGGTGTGTAGGTGATGGTGACCTGCAGTGGAGACGTGGCAGAAAGACGTGACCGGCCTCCTTCCCGGGCACGTCTCTCCCTCCAGCTCTCCCCCTTTCTCTTCCCTCCTCCCCACCTCTCTCCCACCCTCCCCACCTCCCTCCCCATCTGTCTCCCTCCCTCTCCACCTCTCACCCCCTGTCCCTCTCCCCAACTCACCCTTCCCCCAGGTCACGCGGCGGGGCCGCCCTCCTCGGCGGGCGCGCACAGGACCTCAAGGCCGCCGTCGGGGGCGCGGGCGCAGGGCTGTGCGGTCGCCGTCCGGCCGAGGCGCCCCCACCTCCCCGAAAGCGCGGCGTCGGGGGTCCCGGGCGCGCCCGCGCTCTCCTGGGTGGGCTGCCTGCGCTCCGGGAAGCAGAAGCTGCACGTCTCCACCGGCTCTGGTGGCGTGCCCGCGGCGCTTCCAGCCTCCATCCAGTGATCTGCGGGAAGGGGAGAGGGCGACGGCGTTGGCCTTGGCCCTGACCCCTCCTCAACCGCCCTGCACCGAGGGGACAGGCGGCCAGGTTGTCGGGTTCCCGCAGACGGTAAACTGCCCTGCCGGCCCGCGCCCCACGGGCAGCGCCCCCTCCTGGCGCCTCCCTTGTGCTAGGGAGTCTGTCTAGGAGCAGGCTTTCACACCTTGGCTGACTCCCCCCCCCCCGGCCCCCCCGCCGCAGCCCCCAAGGGGACCGCCTCCTCCAGGTTTCAGCCCTGGAAGCCCTGCGCCCCTGCCAACCCCCTGGCCATCACCCTACACCCACCCTCGTCAGGTGCTCCACCTCTTGTCTTGATGTTGAACCTCATTTCACCAAGATGGAAACAGTACTGCAGGGATGTGCGCCCCCCCCCCGCCCCGCCCCTTCTCAGATAGGGCTGGCAACACGCTCTCTCCCTTTGGCAGCAGGACCAGTGCCAGGACAGGGGGATGGCCCACAGCTTGTCCCGCAAGCCATGGGAGTATGAGGGCCCGTTTCTCGCTCACCCTTGGAAGACTTGGCCTGGGTCCGACATGGTGCTGCGGAGGGCTGGCAGGAGAATGGGTCCCCTCTCCTCTTGAGGAAGCAGGCAACGGCCAGGAGGAAGCAGCAGATTATTGCGCAGAGGCAGAGCCCCAGCGTGCTGTAGACCAGGGCCAACTGGTCGGCGCTCAGCTTCAGCCCTGGGGGCGCCCCAAAACAGACGTGAGGCCCTGAGATCCGGAGGGGCCCTTCACTGTCCAGGGCCCTCCTCTGAAGTGTCCCCTCCTCCTTCTTTTCCCTCATTGGGCCCAAGCAAGCCACGTGGCCTGCCCATGCTCCCTGGGAGGGCAGAGCCCCCAGTCCCAGCAGGCTGTCGAGCCAAGATGGTTCCCTTCCTCACCCTGAGGCTTGGCTGGTGTGGACTCTTCTCTGGACTTTGGAGGAAATCAGCCCCCTTTACCCCAGGCTGGTAGCAATGTCTCCCAAGAGCTCAGCGCTGGACACCTCTGGAGCTGGCCCTTGTTGCCGTCTGCTCTTGCCATAGGATGTAGGTTGGGACAGTACCAGAGGTGGATGGATAAATGAACAGACAGAAATCCTGGGAAACTGTCTCTGTTCTGACCTGGGCCTTCCTCCAAGAGGGGTCCTTCCTGGGGAAGCGTACTTGGAGAGTGAGACAGGTCCAGCTGCTACTGAGTCTGGGAGAGCAAAGCAGGAGGGCCCTGGGGAACGGGGGTGCTGCTCACTCCACTTGTCAGGGCCTCGAGCCTCTGGTTTGGATGCGAGAGGAAGACTCAGCCCTGAGCCAAAGCCCTCCCCTTGACGTTTTTCCTGGCCCCTAGAACCGGGGCACCCCCGAGGCCCCAGGTGGAAGGACAGAGGGGCCAGAGTTAATCCGCACATGCAATATACTGATGATGTGGACCACCCACGGAGCCTTTATACATGCACGCACTTTGGGGAGCGTCTCCCATGATTCCCTTGCTCCTGTGAAGGCGGATTGACTACCCCGCCTTTAGATATTGAGGTAGAACTCATATGCTGTCACACTCCTCATTCTAAAGTGTGCAACTCAGTGGGTTTGCATATCTTCACAAGGTTGTGCAAACGTCACCGCCATCTGAATGGAAGACATTTCCCTCACCCGTGTACTCACTAGCAGTCACTCTTCATGTCCCTTGCCCCAGCCCCTGGCACCACTCCACTGATTGCCCCCTCTGTCTTTGTGGGTGTGCCTATTGCGGACCTTCCCTATGAATGCAATCATACAGTATGTGGCACTTTGTGTCTGGCTTCTTTCGCTGAGCGTGATTTCAAGGCTGATCCACACTGTCCTGCGGGTCAGGACTTTACTCGTTTCTGTGGCCGGCTAATGTTCCATTGTAGGGTCATAACCCATGTTCCTCTGTTCATCTGCCCATGGACATTTGGGCTGTTGCCACGCTTTGCTGTTGTGCATAAGGCTGCTGTGACCATTTGCGGACAAGGTTTCGTGTGGACGCATGTTTTCGGTTTTCTGCTGAAGCCTAGGAGTGGAATCTCTGGGTCAGATGGCAATGGTCTGTGTCACTTTTTGAGAAACCTCCAGACTGTTTTCCACAGGGGCTGCACCATTGGACACTCCATTTTGCAGGTGACAGAACAGATTCCAAGTCACCCTGTTCCCAGTCGCAACTGTCGCGGGGAGCAGGTGTGATGGACTCCGGGCCAGTGCTCAGGGCTGGCCTCACAGAGGCAATGAGGGGGACGCCGCCCCCGACACGCTCCGCAGAGTCATGAGTTTTATAAAGTGACCGAGCTGGCAGGTGCCACCCTGACGTTTACAGAGGGAGACCGGGTGCTCTGGATGGTGCTGTCCTTCGTGTCCCTTGCCCGGAGCTCAGGGAGGCCCAGAGAAGAGGGAAGCAAAGAACCCTCAGTGGGCACCATACGCTGGTGCTACAGATCTGAAGACTGAGGCCCTCAGAGGGAAGAGGAGCAGGGCATAGGGCCGAGCTGGGCAACTCTTCCCATTTCCCAATTGCCAGGCCTTTCCATCTGCCTACCTACTCCTACTTGCCTCTGGAATAAAATGACAAGGTACGGCTGGATCCACAGGGGAGGGGCCGGCGGCCTTCATTCACATCGGGGACGGAATGCCCGGCCGCCAGATTGCTAAGTACAAATGAACTGCCGTGTAGATTCAAGGAGAGGGTCTAACCATCTACATATTTCAGATGTTCTCGGTGCGAATTCTACCGGCTAGACCTGGCAGCGACTGTTCACGGCTGGTCCCCAAAGAGCCGCCTCCACGCAGCCTGCCCCTCACATCAGGGCTGGGCCGGGCCTCCCCGACACCAGTAGGAGGCAGCAGAAGGCCTGGGAGCCCTTGCTTCTGCTCTCCGGGGAGCCCCGGGGCCACCGCGTGAGAAGGCCAGCTGAGAGGCCACGTGGAGAGGGCTGGGCCCTGAGACTGAGGGAGGAGCGAGGCCCGGCCATCCCCGAATCAGAGCCAAACCTCCAAGTGACCCCATCCCCCCACACCGTCTGTCTGATGCTGTGCAGAGACCCCAAGCAGACACCAGACCTGCCCAGTGGAGCCCAGCAACCCAGAGAACCAAGCAAGATAACAAAGGGGTTATTTGTAGGCCACTAAGTTTTCGGTGGCTTTTGGAAGCTACAGTAAACAACCAGACTGCACTCCTGAGGGGGTGAGGGGCTTGTCCCAGCTGCTCTTCGCCCCTCTGCCCAGACCAGTGACCTGACGTTTCCTGTGGGCAATGGAACTAGCTCGTGCTGGTGACCTGCCCCTGGTACCTGCTTTACAGAGCCCCTGAACCAGGAAGGGGAGTGCAGATTAAAGTACAGGGTCCTCTCCCACCTGTCTCACGAGAGTACCTCGTTTGGGCCGGGGTGTGGGGAGAATAGTTTCAGGGCCATTTGGAACCAGCTACCAACAGGAAAACCACACTTTTCTGATGTCCGTGGATTCGCTGACTTCCCGTCCAGGCCATGTCCCACCCACACAGACACAGGCGCTCACTGGAGCCTTGTTCAGAGCAGCAGAAGCTGGGTCGGCCCACGACGGACCGAACCCCAGGAGGTAGGCAGCGAGAGCGGGGGGTGCGCACTTTGGATGACAGCCGTGGTGTGAACCACATAAGGAGCTGTAGATGTGCCTTAGATAAGGAAAGGTGGGAAAGTAGGTTCTACACCGGGCGCGGAGCCCAACGCGGGGCTCGATCTCACCACCCTGAGATCAACACCTGAGCTGAGACCAAGTGTCGGACGCTCAACCGACTGAACCACCCAGGCGCCCCTCTTCTTTTTGTTTTTGAAATGATTTGTCTGTGTCATCTATTCAAAACAGGAAAACAGCTTGAAGCTGCTCTGCTCACAACGCACATGTCCAAAGAGCCTCATAAAAGGCCCACCAGAAGGACCGGGGCGGGGGCGGGGGGGGGGGTCATTGAGCCCCAGCAGCTGGCGCGCCCACTAACGGGACAGCCGTCCCCCGAGGCTTTCTGCACCACCAGAATGGGCCCTGCACGAGTCTGGCAGCAGTGAGCGCCAAGACTCTCCTGGGGGCGGAGGGTATCTGCCCTTCTCAGCTCTCCTTTGGTGGATCACGAAGGTCTCTTGGGTCACGACCTCAGAAGTCGCCTTCTGTGGGCCCTCGGTGACCCAGCCCCCGCAGATCAGAGAGGCCTTGCCCCGTACTTCTCTGTCTGCTGACCCCGGGGAGCAAAGGGGCACAGTCACAAAGTCTTGTGAGAAAAAGGGATGCGTTCTCTGTGCTTGTCTGAAGATGAAGTCCTGGGAAGAACCCCCTGCAGGTGCAGTTCCCAAGAACCACCACCAGAGGGCACCGCACAAGGCTTCCGGCGGCTTGGGAGCGAGACTGGCCCCGGCCCGGGGACGGTTTGTTTCCCGGCTGGTTTTTGTTTTTGTTTTGTTTTACTGTCTTCAAAGCCATCTCACATCTAAAAATAGAATTTCCCCAGACTGCTGCGGTCCCCGGATCAGGCTCAGGCTGGCCAGGTGCTCAGGGTTATGACTCGTCACTTAGGGGCAGAGAAAGGGGCCTTTGCGGGCCAGGAATCCGGATGGCACCGCTCAGCTGGGGGCCCTGCAGCCACACTGCTTGGGTTGAAGGAGGCTTTGGACATTGTACTCAGCTTCCTCAGCCCTCAGTCTCCTCATCTGTAAAATGGGGAATGAGATGCCTGTCAGCATTGTTTGGCATCCGCAAGGTAGTGCACGTAAATGGATGCGAGGCAGCTAGGCCCTGGGGTGGGGGTGGGGGGACACTGATGCCGCAAGTCCCCAAGTGTCCCCACGCCTCCCCAGCTCAGCCTGCGGGGAGTCGGAGGGAGGCTGGGGTGGCCGTTGTAGGACGCCACACTCTGGAGGATTTCTGTTCCTCCTCTTTCTCGGAAGACTCTGGTGCCCGGCTGGTGGGCCCCGTCCATGGGGACCACCCGGTCAGCCTCCGGGACTCTGCGTTTTCCCTCCTTCCCTGCATGTGTGGTGACCCTGGGCCGAATGTTCACCTTGAGAAGGGGTTTCCTGCAGTGAGTGTGAGCCTCGCTCTCCGCTCCCCGGGGGGGCCTGCACATGTCCGGATCTGTGGGCCTTTCCCGCCCCCAAGGGGTCCGTGCGTGCTTGTGTGTGTGACACGTGGCTGCCGTTTTGGGAGACGAGTTTGGGAAAGGATGGGGGGGCATCCCCTGCTCCACCCACCACCCCCATCAGGGCCTGGGATCCCAGTGTCCCCGTTCTGTCTGGTGCCACCACTTCTTGAGAGCAAACCTCCATCCTGCTGGTGGGAGGGCAGGACGGCGGGGGGATGACTCCTTCACAGCCTCACCCCTGCTCCCGTTCGGCCCCTCTCCCTGGCCCCAGATCAGACCCCCTGGCCTTTCCCTTTGCTCAAGTGGCTCCGGTTAACGACGGAAGCCCCCTTCACCCCGGGGCCCCCTCCAGCCCCGGCCCGTCCCTCCCCTCCCTTGTCAGCCTGGTTTTGAAGACCAACGTCAGGGCCGCCCTGTCTAGGTTCAGTTCCTGCACACAAGGAAGGCTTGAGCAACTCCCAAGACAGACGTGGTGTCCGCCCCAACCCCGAAATGCTGACGGCCGGCTTCCATGGACGTGACCCCAGTGAGAACAAGGCCGTTTCCCACCCTGCACACATGACCTGCAGATTGATTAATCTCGGCCACTGGGTTTCTCTTCCTTAAAGGCCTGTCATGCTTCCCATTTGCCAAGCCGGTGCTTTTTTCCCTGGGTGCGTGCTCCCCACAGCTCGGAGCTCCCCCACCACGCAGGACGCTCCCCCACCAGCCGGCCCCTCCACGCCCTCACCTGCTAGGCCTTCAGCCCCCCTGCCTGTGATCTTCATGGTGGGACTCTGCGCCCCCGGCCCCAACACCCTACACTGTTCAGTGAACACGGGGGGCCCTGGAGGGCAGTCTGTGCTTCCGGGCCCCCCACTCTGCCTCTGTGCCTCCCCAACTGGTGCAATTAGGTTAAACCGGACTAGGGGAGGCTAACGGCCTGATAAAGGATGAGGCTAAGCGGGAGACGGAGAGTGAGAGGCCTGGCTTCTTGGCCTCAGGAAGAGTGAGAGACGGGCTCCCTGCCTTGCCCCCCGGCATTTCCTCAGGTCAGGGATGCCTCCACCTACCGACACCTAAAAACGGCCCTTCAGAGGGTCCTCTGGCCTCTTTGCATCTGCAACCTTCTCTGCGCTGTGACCTACTCCTTCCAGAATGTTCCTCCTTGTTTGCCTTTGTGGACACACAGCCCTCTGGGTTCTGCTCTGATCTCGCCGACGGCTCCTTTCCAGGGTTTCTGGGGGGCCCTCTATGACCCCTCAGAGGCCGAGTCCCCTGCTCCCTACCCCGTAGAACTTCCCTCTCCATCCTTTTCTGCACACACCTCCTGGGTCCCCGGGGCATCTTTTTCATTCTTGGAAACACAACTGCCACCCCGTAGGCCCACGAGATCCAGGTTCCCCAGTGAGATGCTCCCCAGAGCTCTGGACACCTGGATATCATCCTTCCGGCCTCCAGAGCGGTGAGCGAGGACATTTGTGTGGTTTTAGGCTCCCCAGTGTGTGGCATGGTGTTACAGCAGCTGCAGGAAGCTGACACGGCCAACCCAGGAAAGGACCAAGGCTCAGAGAGGTTAAGTAACTTGCTCAAGGTCACACAGTTAGTGAGGGATGGAACCAGGGTCTGGCTCCACAGCCTGCACCATTACTCCAGTCTGCCTCAAAGGCCCCTCCTCCGAGAAGACTGCCTTGCCCCCCATCGCACCCCTGGCTGCGTTATGTTGCCACCGGGCCCGGAGACTGATTTGTCATTTGCTTGAGTCTTGTGCATTGTCTGTCTCTCCCATTAGACTGTGACTTCTGTGGGGTCAGGGACAGGATTTGCCTGGTCTTGCCACCTCGCCCACGCACAGCAAGCCCTCACAGTTACGTGTCAGTGAAGGAATGACAGTCTGGAAGGACTGCAAGAAGAGCTGGAGTAGGGTTGAGGTGGGGGTCTGGCAGGGATGCGGACTTCGTAGGGGGATGGCAGGATCTGGGGAGCCCACAAGGGGGACGGGGTCACATCAGCTCCACCACTGGCCGCAGCTGGAGACAGCCTGGTCCCACGGCGTCCTCCAGTCCATGCTCTCAAACAGGTCCACCCCTGGCCCTCCCAGCGTGTAGCCCTGGTACTTCCTGCTTATAATCCACACCAAGCACAGCTCCTGCCCCATCAGCACACCCAGGTGTCAGACGAGAGAGCAGAATGGACAGAAACCCCAGACCTCTGGGGAGTCTCAGGCCACAGCGAGATAGTCATTAAGCCACTGAGTTCCTGGGAGGGTGTGTGGTGTCCCCGGCTAGTGGCACAGCTAATGCTACAGGGTCAGGCATGGCCTGCACATGGACCCCACTGGCTCCCCACCATATCCTTACACACTTGCATCCACACATTCTGAGGGATATGTTCCTGGAGCCAACATGAGGCTCCCAGATTCCACCCAGTGCCCTCCAGGGGTGAGGCTTGGCTGGGAGTCATAAGCAGGAATAGCTAATCTTGTCCCACGGGCAGCAGGTTACCCTCAGGAAGTGACAACAATCCCATGAATGCTACTCTGGGATTTTTGCTCTTGCAGAATGGATAAACTTAGGGACCCAGAGAGTTGGCCTGAATCCCAGCTCAGCATTGCTCATGCACTCATTGCACAAGTCTCAGAAACTCACTCTAAATTTTGAGACTCCGTTTCTAGATCCATAAAATGGGTAGTATTGATCTGAAGGGGACCCTATTGCATCAAAGGTGAGAAAGTTCTGGGTTTGGCTAGAAGAATGCAAATACATCGCCAACTGCAGGTTGGACATACGGGTCACTAGACGCTGGAGGAGCAGGTGTGCCCCACCCATCCCCACGTCATGGTTCTGTGCCTCCCTCCCTCTGTATCCATGCCCCTCTGCATGTGAATCAGTATTTCTCATGAGAGAGAGACTGTGCTAGATTACAATCAGCCACAGACTCACCCACACTACGAATTCTTTGTCTCTCCTCCCGCATCTGTTTCCCCAGTCTTGAATCTGACTGGCTTTGCAACTTGAGGAATAGCATGCACCAGTGCAGATGTAGTGCATGTCCCCAGCCTGGCAACACGAGGCCTTGTGTATTTCTACCTCTTACACTCCTGCCATCATCATGAGAAGGACATGCCTGGTCCCGGGAAAAGGAGGAGAGACACATGGAGTGGAGCCACCTCTACCTGAGCCAGCAGAACACAGCTAACCCCAGGCAAAACCCAAAGATGTAAGAATAATAAGCCACTGAGTTTTGGGACTATTTGTTACACAGCAACAGCTCACTGACAAGAGAACAGAAAAGAGTAAAAGACAACAGTCTAACCAAGTAGAACTTGGGGCTGGGCAACCTCCATTATCAGGGCACACAATGCCTGCCCTTTGGTTTCTTGGCACTAAGATCTGGCGCCATGGAAATGATGTCATTGTGAGGAAAGTCACAACAGAGGAAAGAAACCAGTCAGGCCTCCAGGAGCTTCAGGCCTATTGTCTCTCCACTGACAGACCAAGAGCAGTGTAACTATCTCAAGTGTTTATGGGTCCGCATGGCATTTCTCCTCCACTCCATCCTTCCTGACACTGCAGAGCAGGGTAGGTAAGCCAAGAGGTGTTTTCTGGGAGGATAATTAGACACTTTCAATGGTTGGCACTTAGTAGATGACCAGTTCCAGGGAGCCTTCTCACCATGTCCCAGGTGGCCAACCCCCACCATCAGTTGTTTTGTAATACTTTTTCCTTCTCATTCTTTGGAAGTCCCCATTGTCTCTAAATGGAATCAGAGATCTTGCTCACATGGTTAGCTCTGCTGGTTACCTGCTGCTCTGTGTTTTAAGAACTCATTTAGCCTCCATTATAAGGCTCTCAATGATCAGATTTTTTTTTCTTCTTTTCCTCCTGCGTCCTTCTCACCCACAGACTTCTAAATATTTTGCCTAAAATTTCGTTCTATCCTGTGATAACCCTCCCCTGTCTTCTGACCATTTGCCCGGACTCTGGACTTCCTGCTTTATAGACCCTCCTTATCTAGTCCTGGCACCTGGCCCTCTGCCCACTGTGGCCCTCAGACACCATCAGGCCAACCTCAGAGGACTTACCTGGGCCTGTCTCCGAGCCTCTGTGCTCTGTTCCCTGGTACCTTCCCAGGTCGTCTGACCTGGTTTCAGCGACCCCAGCCCGCTGTCTCTTGAGCTCTGGTGGGAGGTTCACATGGCTCCTGAACTTGTTCTCACAGAAGTATGTGCATTGCTTGGGGTGACGTCCACAGATGGAGGCACAGCTGATGCAATCCCTCAGGAGCTGATCATAGTACCTGCCTTGCTCTTTGCGGCAACTGAGTGCCTCTGGGAGACAGAAATGATTGATGTTACTGGGTGACAGAGACCTGCAGGCCCTGTGAAGCTGGTCTTCAAGGGCATCACAGTTTAAAAAAATCACAATTCAATTCCCCAAAAGCAATTGCAGAGTAATGCAAGTCCTTTCCCAATATGTAAATGGAAGGCTATACATTGTCCTCTAAGTACTGTTTTAGCTTCAATATATACTTTGATATGTAGTATTTTTCCTATATCTACTTTACAATGTTTTTTACTTTTCATTATTACTTCTTCTTTGACCTATAGATTATTTGAAAGTGCATTTCTTAGTTTCTAAACATATAAGAGTTTTCTAGTTATCTTTTAAAATTGAAATCTAAGTTATTACATCATCACATAAGTTCTTCACTTGTATTTTTCAAACTCCATAAAGGAAAAACATATTTCATATTAACATAAGGATTGGAGGAGGAAGCCAGTAACCATGTTGGCAGGTTGAGGGAGGGGGTTGGAAGGAAGATGGGAAAGCTCAAACTAATACTGTTTCTTCTGTCTTAATGAGAATTATAAGAGCTTAAACAGGCATCAGTTCCAAGGAGCAGAAATCAAGTAAACTAAAGCCCAATCACACTTGCTTTAAGAGAGCAATTTTGAGTGCATAACAGAAATCTATACTTTCACAGGGCTTCCCTTGTCTTTAAAACAAGATTCTATTTATATGAAAATGTGACTCACACGGGGTTATTTTAAGGGCACATTTCAGAGGCTGTGCAAGATAGAGGGTAAGAACACAGCCTTCAAGGCCAAAGAGATTTGAGAGCATCCCTAGTCTACCACTTGCAGGTTGTGGGGTCTTAGCCTCTCCATGCCTCAGTTCCCACATTTCCAAGACAAAGGTAACAATAATGTTGACTTCTTAAATTTGCTATGAGGATTTGAAGTTCCTGGCACAGTGTCTGACACATAATAAATAAATGCTGGATTAATAGAAGGTTTAAGTAGAATATTCATTTGTGCCTCTTTGCAACACACACACACACACACACACACACACACACACACACACACCCCAACTCTTACGTCCTTGAACGAGTAAAGGAAAAAACCAGGAAGATGGTGCAACTGGGAACTCAGAGAAGACTCAGATGGGATCAGTGACCTCTTCTTGCCCTGGCTCTGCCCTGGAGTTCCACTAAGCCACATAAGACCACTGCCACTGCCACTCATAAGAAGGAGTTGATAGGATGACAATGGTGTTCCTACCATTTTATGTGTGACCTCCTCCCCTCCTCAGGCCCCCAATGTGGCTGTTGCAGGTGGTGTCTGAGCTTCCCAGACCACCAACCCTCACTGCCCAACCTCATAAACTTCCTTCTGGACCTTGATATTTCCTGTTGTGTTTTTTTCACCTCCATGACTTTGCCCACACAGGTCCTTCTTCCAGGAGTGCCCTCCCCTGCCCCCCGTCGCCACATCTACAAACTCTTAACAATTTATCTCAGGTGGCATTTACTCCAGGAATACCTCCCTCCTCCCCAACCCATCAGCCAGAGGTGGTCTCTCCCAACTGTAGCATTTTATGGTACTTTATCTTTCTGCCTTGAAAGGTAGTTATTTCTCCCATTAGATGATAACCCCCTTGAAGGATCATGTCAATTTCCTATTTTCAAGGAGCTAGAGAGTTCCATGAATATTTGTGGAGTGATACAATGAATATTCTACTTCATTAATGGATAGTGGAGATACTCTCAGTCAGTTAAGTGTCTGCCTTCAGCTCAGGTCATGATCCTGGGGTCCTGGGATCGAGCCCCACCTGCATCATGCTCTCTGCTCAGCAGGGGGTCTGCTTCTCCCTCTCTGACTCCCTCTGTGCTCTCTTGCCCTCTCTCAAAGAAATACAACCTTTAAAATAAAATAAAATAAAATACACAAGCAAAAAAATGCCTGGGGAATAAAAAGGCAGAATTTTTAATGCTAATGATGGGTAGATAGGAATTTATTGTTTTATCCTCTCTGTGATAATTCCTATAATAAAAAGTTTCAAAAGAAAATTATAACAGAGAAGGACAAAGAAGGTCCTCATTTCTATTGGGTAGTCAGATAGGACCTCTTGACATTTGGCTTCAGACCTAAAGGTTGAGTAGGAGGGAGCTGAGGGAACTATAACAGGGATAGGCATTCCAACCATAAGGTACAACATGTGCAAACACCCTGAGGCAGGAAAAAACAGCATGTTCAAGAAACTGCAAGGAGGCCAGCATGGCCAGAACAGAAAGACTGAGGGGTGAAAGTGTGCCACATTGTACATCTACTTTAACCACCTCCTTCTCAACCACCCAAGTGCAATGGGGACTGAGGGACCTCTGAGGAGAAAGAAGGGGTGATCCAGCCCATGGGGCTCGGGCCCCAGAACTCACTGCAGAATGCTGTGCAGGTGCGTGGAATCTGATGGCTGCAAATGGGTTTGCAGGAGAGGCAGACGTTCAGCAGGGGATCCCAGTACTGTTCTTCAGGGCAGGGCTCCATGGCCATCCCCTTCACAGGCCCTGTGGAGCTGAGAGGCAGGGAGCATGAGGGTAGCTGGCACCCTGCTGTAGGTCAGAACCCAGACAGTCACTCCCACTCACATTCCTACCCTCTGTCTCAGCAAACAGAGGGGAACCAGACAAAGCTAGCTTCCAACCCCAGCTGCACATGCTGGGTGACCTGCAGCAGCCATCTCACTTCCTTGAGCCTCAGTTTCTCCATTTGTGAAATGGCTGTTCTGAGGCTCCCCCTCTCACATCTGTGCCCTTCTCAGCCCTGTTCTTTGCCCTCTTTAATGTGCCTCATTCTACCACAGTACCTTTGCACAAAATGCTGTTCCTTTTGCATAAAATGCTCTTCTTCCCTGCTCCTCCGCTGGTATTTTCTCCTGATCCTTTAGACCACTGTTTCAATTTCATTTCCTCAGAAAATCCTGATTCTCTTCTCAGATTACAACATGCCCCTTTTTCTGAGCAGTGATGTGCCCTTCACTTGTTATTGTTTTCACTTCACTTTTATAAGTGTGACTATTAGATACTGTCTCCCCTATTAACTGTGAGCATCCTGCAGGCAAGAACTCTAACTTTTTTCTTCACTCTGGGTCCTCAGAACCTAGAAAGTGCCCGGGACAGAGTTGGTGCTCATTAAGTGAATAAAAAAGAAAAAAAGCAGATCTAGCCAGTGCCTAGCATACAGCAGCATTCAATAAATGTCTATTTCCTTCCCGTTTTCTTTTTTACTGAGATATGAGACACACACGATGTGTGTAAAGTGCACAAATCTGAAGTGTACAGCTTGATGAATTTTTCCATACGTATACACCTGTGTCACTACAACCCACATCAAGGTACAAGGTATAGATATTTCTTGCACCCTGGAGACTCCCTTGGATCTCCTCCCATCTGATACTTACTTCCAGAGGTAATTTCTACTCTGATTTTTATCACTGTAGCTTGTTAATATTGCCCATTCTTGAACTTTTGTGTCTGGTTTTGTCGGCTCCATGAGGTATCTGAGACACATCTCTGTCGAGGCTCTATCAGTCATTTGTTTTGTATTGCTGAGTCTTCCATTATATGAATGCATCACCTTTTCTACAATTTTCTGCCTGATTTCATGATATTAGCTTCACCAAAAACATCTCCTTTTTTTTTTAATAATTTTTTTATTGTTATGTTAACCACCATACATTACATCATTAGTTTTTGATGCAGTGTTCCATGATTCATTGTTTGTGCATAACACCCAGTGCTCCACGCAGAATGTGCCCTCTTTAATACCCATCACCAGGCTAACCCATCCCCCCACCCCCCTCCCCTCTAGAACCCTCAGTTTGTTTTTCAGAGTCCATCGTCTCTAATGGTTCGTCTCCCCCTCCGACTTACTCCCCTTCATTCTTCCCCTCCTGCTATCTTCTTCTTCTTCTTTTTTTTTCTTAACATATATTGCATTATTTGTTTCAGAAGTACAGATCCGTGATTCATCAGTCTTGTACAATTCACAGCGCTCACCATAGCACATACCCTCCCCGATGTCTATCACCCAGCCACCCAATCCCTCCCACCCCCCACCACTCCAGCAACCCTCAGTTTGTTTCCTGAGATTAAGAAATCCTCATATCAGTGAGGTCATATGATACATGTCTTTCTCTGACTGACTTATTTCACTCAGCATAACACCCTCCAGTTCCATCCACGTCGTTGCAAATGGCAAGATCTCATTCCTTTTGATGGCTGCATAATATTCCATTGTGTATATATACCACATCTTCTTTATCCATTCATCTGTCGATGGACATCTTGGCTCTTTCCACAGTTTGGCTATTGTGGACATTGCTGCTACAAACATTGGGGTGCACGTACCCCTTCGGATCCCTACATTTGTATCTTTGGGGTAAATACCCAGTAGTGCAATTGCTGGATCGTAGGGTAGCTCTATTTTCAACTGTTTGAGGAGCCTCCATACTGTTTTCCAGAGGGGTTGCACCAGCTTGCATTCCCACCAACAGTGTAGGAGGGTTCCCCTTTCTCCGCATCCCCGCCAACATCTGTCGTTTCCTGACTTGTTCATTTTAGCCATTCTGACTGGTGTGAGGTGGTATCTCATTGAGGTTTTGATTTGGATTTCCCTGATGCCGAGCGAAAAAACATCTCCTTTTAAACATTTTTCAAGGCCGTTTGTTTACTCTTTGATGAAAGTAAGCTGAGAAAAGACCAGTGGCTTCTGGTTTAATGCGGCAGCTTAAACACATGGGCTTATCTTCCTTCCCTCTTGAAACCCTACTAAAAGGACAAGAAAAAGATATTTGTCCTCAAAGAGAAAGAGAATGGAAAAAAGTTAGTGCAGCAGGGGACAGATGTGAGCAACATTTTGGGATATGGAAGGCATGTGAACTGGGACTGATTTCAGTTAAAGATCTCTCTCTTTCGATGCCCACAGGGAGAAGGAAGCTGATTTGAGCCACAGAACCCTAGGAAGTCTCTGGAATTGGACGCACCAAGTATCTCTGACAGTGGGGGATGGGAAGGCAAAACGATGAAAGAGGGCTTGACCCCAGCCAAAGCCCATCCGCAGGCAGGTAACGGCCTCTTGACAACCCAAGCAAAAGATTAGGGACCTTCTCAGGCATAGTTGAGGGTAGCCATAAAGTCCACTCTCTCCAAAACACAACCTAAGGTGTGCTGTGGCCAGGTTTTAAAAAATGTGTCCTTCCCCATCCTGCAACTGGCAGGAAATCAGCAGAATCTGGGAAAACTGATCCAAAGGAAATGACCTAAAGATATTGACTGGGAGATTCTCTCGAGAAAATGACCAAGTTTGCTGCTTGACCATCTGAGAGCCAAGCTTCTACATTAACAACCCCATTTGTTTACTCAGAACTTCCAATCAGCTGTTTCTGCCTCAGTCTAAGTTGTGAACCAAGAACCACGGGTCACCTGATATTGGAGCACCACCCCCTACATGAAAGAGAATTCAAACAAAGCAAGCAGAAAGAACATGCTGGGAGCCAAGAGAGACAATGCAGGGAAGAGAAGAAAACTAAAAGGTGACACCAACAACAATTGATATCTTCAGAAGGATTGGAGAATTTTTACATTTTTGAAAAGGAATGGTGCCCTGTCTTTTAAAAAGAATATGCATATAATACATAAGAATTATTAGAAATTAAAAATATAATAGCCAGAATAAAAACATTGGTAGGAGGGTTGCAAGATGTAGTTGAAGAAATGTCCCAGAAAATAAGGAGAGAAAAGATATGAAAATTATGGAATTATTTTGGGAGGTCCAAAGGTTGACTAATGGGAGCTCCAGAGAAAACAGATTTCTAGGATATAGCTTCCAGATTCAAAGAGCCAGTCAGGCATCTGGCACAATAAATTCTCACCAACCATGACCCATCATCATAAAATTTAGGAGGACCAGAGATTAAGAGCAGATTCTAAAACCTTCTTGAGAATAAGCAGGTTACCCACAGAGTTCTGTGGGGAAGCCAGTGGACATCTCAAATCAAAACTGGGATGTGAGAACAATGTCTGGGAAGATGGTAGAGTAGAAACTCCAAGAATCTGCCTTTTCACCTAACAGCTGTTGATGGCAGCAACCATCTGAAGGCACTGTTTTGAAACTCCAAACTTACCCAGGAAAAAGCTAGATGAAGAGACTGGTAAGTTTTTGGAATTTTGGTGCATTTCAACCTATTTCATGCTGGTGGCTACCATTCCTCAGTCTCCAGCCCCATGTATGCAGCAGTGGGAGCAGCTGCTCATATTGCTGGTGCAACTTGCTGGAACCTAGATAGGCAGTAAGGACCTTGTCTTCCAAATATTGGGATTGTAGGTTCTGACTGCTGTTTGCTGTTTTTGATCAGTGAGAGGCTAGCACACAATTTGGTGGCCATTGTTTCAACCCCCATCAGCTGAAGTGGCTTCCATGAGGATTTATTTATTTTTTTTAAAGATTATTTATTTATTTATTTGAGAGAGAGAGAGAGAGAGGGAGAGCATGGGCAGGTGTGGGGGAGCAGAGGGAGAGGGAGAAGCAGACTCCCCACTGAACAGGGAGCCTGATGTAGGGCTCGATCCCAAGACCCTGAGATCATGACCTGAGCCCAAGGCAGACACTTAACTGACTGAGCCACCCAGGCGCCCCAAGCATTTCATGAAGATTTAAAGAGACAGTACTCTCCACCACTCTTGGGAACCAGACTTTTAAGGAAATTTTTGTCAGGTCATTGGCTGACTGCAGAGATAAAGGAACAGAAACTTCAGTGACATGCAATAAATACAAACTTTCAAAAATAGTTTGAAAAAGCCACAAATGGACTCCAGCCATCAACAAGCAAGATACAGCAGTCCCTGAGGAATGAGAGAACTAGAATTACCACAACATAATACTCAAAATGTCCAGTTCTCAAAAAAACCTACAAAACATACAAAGAAACAGGAAAATATGACACATTCACAGAAAAAAAGAATTTGACAGAAATTATCCATGAAGAAGTCTAAACATTGGAAATATTAGTCAAAGACGCTAAATCAACTGTCTTAAATATGTTAAATGAACTAAAGAAAACCATGGACAAAGACCTAAGGGAAGTCAGAAAAACAATGCATGAATGATGTATGAGAATATGAATAAAGAGATAGAAGTGGTAAAAGAAGGAACCAAAACTTGGAAGCAAACAAGGTTTCCTTCAGTAGGTACATGGATAAATAAACTATGGTACATCTAAACAATGGAATTTATTCAACACTAAAAAGAAATGAGTTATTAGCCATGAAAACACATGGAGGAATCTTAAATGCATATTAGTAACTGAAAGAAGCCAAACTGAAAAGTCTACTGTGTGAATCCAGCTATATGACATTCTAGAAAAGGCAGGACTAGAAACAGTAGAAAGATGCGTGGTTGTCAGGGGCTTGGGGAGGGAGAGATAAAGGTGGGATGCAGGGGATTTTATAGGGCACTGAAACTATTCTGTTTGATACTATCTTGGTGGATACGTG